TGGGAGGGGCAGGGGAAAGGAAAGAAGGGAAAGGAAAAATGATGAGAAATGGAAAAAATGGAAATAAAGTCTTTGTAGATAGGGAAGGGTGGAGGGGGTGAAGGGAGGCCTAGGAATGGGGAAAAAAATAAGAACCAAGATGCATTACGTAAAGGTACAATTCCCTGTGAGAAATGTAATTGTATTGTATACCTACAATGTACCAATAAAAGAATTTAACAAAAAAAAATAAAAGGAAAGACATATCATATTCATAGTAAATATTTCAATTTTTCTCATTTTAATATATAGGTTTATATAATTCCTATCAATGTCCCAGAAAAATTTTTTCTAGTTACATACAAGATTATTCTAAAATTTATAGGGAAGTATAAATGAATTGGAATAGCTAGAACTATTTTGAAAAGAAAGAATAAAGTAGAAAGAAACACTCCACCTGATTTCAACACATCATGCAGTTATAATAACAAAGTATAAACACACAGAACAGAATGTAGTCACAAAAATATGTCCACCTGAGTTTTGGTTTTTTTTTTGGCAGTACTGAAAATTGAGCCCAGAGACTTCACACTGAGCTCAGTCCGCCAGTCCTCTTTTTTATTCCAAGTCTGGGCAATTTTCCTAGACTTTGTACTTTTGACAAAGGTGCACAAGTAATTCAGTGGAGAAACGATAGCCTTTTCAACAAGTGGTGCTAGAGCAATTGAATATCTGTAGGTAAACAAACCTCAATCTAAGTCTCACACCTTATATAAAAATTGACTTAGTGGATTATTAATTTAAATGTAAATTGCAAAACTGTACAAGGTTTAGAACAAAATATTGGATAAAATCTTTAGGATCTGGGGCTAGGCAAATAGTTCTTAGACTTGGTACCAAAAAATGATGCATAAAAAGAAAAATTGATGAATTGAACTTCGTTAAAATAAAAAACTTTGCTTTGCAAAAGACTCCAAAAGAGGATGAAGGCAGTGAAATCCTGACATATATAAGGCAGTGGATGTAAGAGGTAGGAAGGAGGGAACAGTCACAGGACATATTAAAGAACAGAAATTTGATCCTGTCACTTGGAAGATTTAATGCAGAGTTGATTACACAGTCGAGAGGAGCTGGGAGTCAAAAAAACCCATGGTGAAGAACCCTAGAGATCAACAACAATAAGAAGCTCTTGCTATCCCTCAGCTAGAAAGTCAAGGGCTTCATCCCTGTTACTAAAGCCAGGCTTGCCCAGTGGAAGCTGAAATTTAGTAGCTTGTCTGGCAAGAAATGAAGGCACAGATGTAGCCACAGCTGAAAGATCTGCCCACATCAGAGAGACAGGGTGAAAAGCACCTTAGCTTCTTTCTCCTTCCAACCTTCCAATCTCCTACCAAAGCCAAGTCTAGTTGGAGGCCAGATGACTTGAGAGCCTGGGGAATGTAACCTTCATGACTCCTATGGGTTTAAGATACAGAGTAGACTTGGAAAAGGATATGAAACAGATCTGAGGGCAAACAGGCTCAGGACTAACATAATTCATCTTTTTAACTACTCAGCATCCATTCTCACCTCATAGCCATATGTGTCAGTCAGTATTTACTAGAGAAACAGATATAACACAAGATATACAAATATATATGAATTTTCAAGATTGGCTTGTAATGGCCACCCACAGAATCAGAAGAGGAAGAGTCCAGAGGCTCTGTCTGTGCACTGGAGACTAAAGGATTTAGTCAAAGGTCTGGAGCTCCCTGCAGTGTCCCGCTGGAGTTCATATCAGGAGGCCAATGGGTCTGCGATGGAAGGCTAAAGGATCTGTGCCAGAAGCTGAAGAGTCTTCACTGGAAGCCAGGAAATGATGTCCAAGTTGAAGACTGGAACTCCTTCGAAGGAACAGAAGCAGATCAGTCCTTCCTCATTTCCCCTTTATACCATCCAGGCAACACTGTGCTGCCCAGGGTGGGTCCTCCACACCCTAGGGTGCAGAATTGCTGAGTTGATTTAGTTAAGCTTCTCTTAACCAACTTTTCAAGTTGACACAATCAACCGTCACAATCAGTCCCTTATCAATTTGGCAACAAGATACATTTCTTTAACCCAGCCTCCAAGATACAAAGACAAACTCATAATTATGCCTAACATGTTATAACTATCCTGTGTACAAACAGAAATGCACTAATTCCCTTCCCAGAATGGATGGCAAGTTTTCTTTGGGTGGTGCTATTAACATTTCATAACTTGAACATTATCACATAGGTTTAACAATCCTTAAGAACCAGTATTAGATCTATCAACATTATATTACATTAGAACCATTTTAGGAGAGAAACAGTACAATTAAAATCCTCATTTCTGTAGCTGATCATGGGGTCATAGCTGGTATTTAGAACTACCTTCTTTTACTACCCATTCTGTATTCCCTTGGCCTTCAGCAAGCACCTCAGCAGGTCTTGGTTCTTTCCTTGGTAGAGTGATCCATGCTTTCATTCCTGAAGGGTCTGGACCATTTGTCATTCTGTCTGGATTAGGTTGTTGTAGTTTCCCACTGACTTTAATAACAGGGCATGGTACTACTAAGAGCTACCCTAAGGGATCTCCTGTACTCCCAGTATGTTCTCCCTTTCCTCCATTGTGGAGTAGTAGTCCAAATTCCCCTTGATAGTCTTGATCAATCACCCCTGACAACACTGTGACTCCCTTTTTAGCTTGTTTCCTTAGAGGCATAAAGAGACCAAAATGACCAGGGGAAAATCTTAGCTTCCAGTTCAATGGTATCATCGTTGCACTTCTTGGTATAGGCGTTCCCCTCTCTGGAACTAAGACTTCTAAGCCAGCAGAACATAAGGTTGCAAGAATAGGGAGCAAAAATTTTGGTAGTTGATCACCCCTTGATTCCTGAACCCATAAATCCTGGCTATGAGAGACATGGTCTCATACAATGGGTGCTGATTCAAAGCATATACAGCCTTTTGATGAACCTTGCCCCAGCCCTGCAAGCTATTGCCTCCTAGCTGGCACTGTAACTGCGTCTTCAAAAGACCATTTCACCTTTCTATCAATCCAGCCATTTCTGGATGGTGAGGAACATGATAAGACCAGTGAATTCCATGAGAATGAACCCATTGTCTCATTTCTTTGGCCATAAAATGTGTTTCTTGGTCAGAGGGCAATGCTATGTGGAACTCCATGATGGTGGATAAGGTATTCTGTGAGTCTACAGATGGTAGATTGTGGTGGATTAACTAATGGTCAACTTGGAATACCCAGCTGAACTGAGTCAGCATGGTTCTGGGTGTGGAAGACCCACTTGAGAACTGTTGCCAATGGCATAAAAGGAGAACTGAAGGGAAGATTGTATGCTGTTGATTTTCCTGAAGAAGCTTATTGTAGCTGGTTTTCCTGATATGAACTTGGCTGTTCTCATCATCGGAGGAGCTTGGGTCCTCCCTGTCACAGGGAATGGCTGCTGTTCCCATCAGGGGAGCTCTGGTCTTCACCTTGAGTGTTGGTTCCTCACTCCAGTGAAGATCTCTCAGCCTGGTGGCACAAATTCTTCACCCTGCAGTTGCAGACTTTCTAGCTTCCACCACTGGCCTTTGGACCTTCCCAGTGCAGATCCTTGATACAGACTTCCATAATACATTGCCTTGGGCTCTAGGCCTTTAGCTGGACTTGTGGAAGACACTGCCATGAGATCCAGGCCCTTGGCTGGATATTTTGGGTCTCTAATGTGTGGATAGATCTCTTGCACTCCTCTGAATTTGACTTTTTGGGTGAATAATATAAAATAATCCTATAAATTATGTGTCCTGTATTAAATCTATTCCCTTGTAAACCCTGAGAATACAATATTTCAGAAATTCATGTTTCTGTCAGACATGAGACAACCACCCATAATACAGGTTACAAGCTCTCTCCAAAAAGGGGTGGAAGAACATCTGATTTATCAATATTCCATCCCAAATCTGTGGTTTCCAGGCATTATGATCCCTCCTATAAATATCAGATATGTGTGATAACATAACTGTAGTCTGGTGAACCATAAATTAAATTACAAAGTCATTATTACCAACATTCCTCATACAAAATAGGATGAAAGAGATTGTTGATTAATATATACATAAAATTATTGACTGCTATAATTCTTTTTCTATAACTGGTCATATGGCCACAGTTGACATGTATCACTTTCCTCTTCTACGACATACCATCTTTCCCTTTCAGCCCGAACATTAACTAGATGTATTTATTTTGCCAGTGAAATGATCCAATCTTTCATTTCTGTAAGGTCTGAATCTTTGGTGGTCCTGTTACCGGCCACTTAGGTTCACAAGCTTAGGTTCATTTGCTTGCCACTGACCAAATCAAAGGAGGCCATATATTTTGGTAAAATGGAAAAAAAGGATTTACTCAAAGCTAGTTCTGAGGAGATGAAGGGACTCATTTGTATAGGTGGGCATGGGTCTTTGATAGTAAGGGACAGCAGAAGAGGAGCACAGAGAGACAATGTAGATCTCCACACTTGCTTTATCACTTCCAGCTATATCCAACTCATTCTCCTCTTTCTAGTGGAAAGGAAATCAAGCTCCAGCCTCCTGAGGCTGGTAGCATCTGCATATTCTGTTACTTCTTTTAGGCTGAGGAGAGTAAGGAGTATTGGTTGTGTGTTCTGCAGAAGGAAGTTTGGAGAAGTTGCTTATCTCTAAAAGAAAAAAAATCTAACTTTTAAATCTCCATTTTGCAGTGACAGTTATAGTCCTGTATGTACTGGGTTGCTATAGGCTTTAATTGACTTTTCCTATCAGAAATGAAAGTATCAAAAAGAACATCCCCATGAATCTCATGGGTTTCAAAAATAGTCCCCTTGCTTTCATTATGTAGCAGTGAACCAATTTCTCATTATTAATCATGATCAGTCATCTCAGACAATATAGTCACACTCCTCTGCTTGTTGGAGGAGCTCCAAATGCCAGGTGACAGTCTCAATTTTAATTATAATGAGACTGTGAGGAAGCATTTATTCCTTCGAAACAAAGACCTCTAGACCAGCAAGGCTGAAGATTGTGGATAGGAAATAAAATTCTTGTGTGGCTTATTAGATATAATAGTGAGAAAAGCCATTTATACTTCTGCCCCTTAATTCCTAGACCTATACATTCTACATAGGGGAGAAACATACCATATGTCAGTCACTGCTTCAAAGCATAGACCATGTCCTGAGAAACAACATTGCAATCCCCCAAAATGTGATTGGTATTGGTATTTGGTATTATAACTAAATCTTAGTCCATTCTACCATTTTATCAGCCAACAACTCCTGGTTGATGGAGTAAATTGTAAACAGCAAATTTTAATTTTAATATTGTATTTTCCTTGTAAGTATGTCCCTTGGACAGAAGTATTGTTGTTGTGTGGTAACATAATAGTGAATTAGGAATTCCAGAAGTTCTTAGATGATGCTGATGAGAAAGCAAATCTGTACTCATAACAGTAAGAATAAAGTATGGCCTCTCTATGATAGGAAAAGTTTGAATGTAATCAGCTTCCTAACAAGTGTCTAGCTGGTTACCACAGAGAATGGTACCAAATAAAGAGCCTCAGTGTTGAGTATTGACCTTAAATTTGGTGGAATAGGCACGCAGCAACAGCAGTGGGAAGGAAAAGTCCACATTCTTGAGTCTAAAAGCAGAGACTTTCATTGGAAAAACCCAGCTAGAAACTGGCTGATGTAAGATCCTAGAAGATGCAGTTTGAGGGGAATCAATCTCCTTGAGTAGAGCAGGGGAATGACCGACAGGGAACCATTTTAAGAGAAAACACGCCTGGATTACTGAATGGTGTGTTAGTTACTTTTCTCTCGTTGCTGAGACAAAACACCCAACACCCAAAGTTAAAGGGGAAAAAAGGTTTATTTGACTTACAGATTGTAGAGGTTTCATTCCATAATTGGCTGGCTTCAAGACAGGGTGGCAGAGGGGCAATAGTTCATGGCGGCAGAAGACAGAAAAAGCAACAAGAAGGTTTAACAGCATCTTTCTGCCTCTTTTATCTTATTCATACTACTTAGGGCAGATAGCACTCATCCCCTTAATCCTAGTGCCCTCAGGCCTAGCAGTGCACTGTGAATCAATCACACACTCTAGATTCAACCACCTCCAAAATAGCTCCACCTCAGACTGCATGAGGCTTTAGCTGGACATCTAAACACAAGCCATAACAGATGGGGAGGGAGTAAGGGAGAGAAAGTGGTTTCTCAGTTCTCTAGCTTTGATGACTTGGGTGCATAGTAATTCACTGAGCTGAGGACACAAGAGTCTGAGAGCATGTTGAGTTTAAGGCGTCTGTGGGATGTCACAGTAAAGCTGCCCAGGATGCAGTCTGAGGTTCAGATAAGAAGTCTGTGATTGAGAAATAGAACTGAGAGTCATCAGACTATAAAGAGTCATTGAAACCATGAGGATGGGTGAGTGAACTCAGAGTCAATGCAGGATTAGCAGCAAAGAGAACCAGAGACAAAGCTTAGCCATCACCAATATTCAACTTACTAGCCACGGAAGAGAAGTCTGTGAGGAAGATGCCAAAGTGGTATCTCAAAAATCAAGGGAGAAAAGACCATCAAGAAAAAGAAAGTGGGGGCCGGGGATTTAGCTCAGCAGTTTCGCCGCCTGCTGCACAGCGCAAGGACCCGAGTTCGATCTCCGGTACCAAAAGAAAGAAAAAGAAAGTGGTCAAAGGTCAAATTCACTTGAGATCAAGAAAAATAACCCGAAAAGATGGAAGAGCATTAAATGACAAGAGGCCACTGGTAACTGGTGCCTGGCTAACAGTGGAAACGAATGACCCCTTTACCAAATCCTGACAAACACCAACTAGGCCATCCTGCCTCCAGCCAACCTGAAAGCAGATTTTAGCAGAGCCTACCCAGACCAGAAGTGTCACCCCAGTCCACAGAATCCAGAGTGAAGTGTTTATTTGTTTATTTGTTTTTGGCTTTTTTGAGAAAGGATCTTGCTATATAGTTCAGGCTGGCCTTGAACTCACTATGTAGGTCAAGCTGACCTCAAACTCATGGCAATCCCCCTGCCTCAGCCTCCCAAGTGCTAGTATTACAGATGTGCACCACCATGTCCAGTTTTTTTGGTTGTTTTAAGGCATTAGGTTCTAGGATGTTTTTTATACTGCAAAAGCTAACAGATGCACATACTTCTTCACTATTCTGATAATCCACTCCAGTAGAGTAAATCATACTTCATGTCTCATGGTTTTTTGAATCAGGAGGCAAGAAAATATTTTTTCTATCTTAATTTTTGTTTCGTTCTTTTCATTTAGGTATGTAAGCTTCGAAAGATGATTTATAGAACAATTTTTTTGGACTTGCAAGTCTATGTACACCTCTTTGCAGGCCATCTTCTTTGAAAAGAACCATTGGTAGAGCCCTTTATTTTTACCAGCAATCTCCCCCTCTTCTGCCCACATCTCAAGACACTCAAAAATGACCTGTATAAGTAGATCAAAGTGGTAACAGAGGCGAAAGGAGGAGGGAGGCAGCTCCACTGTAACTTGGGACAGAGCAGTGACATTTTTTTTTTTTTTTGGAATCTAGCCCAGGGCTTTCTAAATAAACACTGTAAAAGCATCTCCTAAGTGACGTGCTGAGGAAACTGAAGCAGGATGAATATATTCCTTATCTGCAGCATGGCAGATGAACAGGCTGAAAACTCCTACTCCTATCAAAAGGTTTCAGGAATTTATTATTCATACCTATTCATTTGTGGAATCTTTAATTTAATATAAACTAACTCTGGACTTATAAAAATGAACTTATTAAAAATGTTCATATTTGGGTGACTAGGTAATGAAGTTACATGGACTTTCAACATCCAGTGATGTAATCTCATGATTAAGTTTGATATTTAGTTCAATGATATCATACCACGCACTGACCTGGCTCTGAGTGTCACCATTACGTGCTCACATTCTTTCCCAGAAAAGAGATGGTGGCAGGGCATCATTGTCTTCTGTAGATGTAATCCCTATAATTGCACCCAGGTCAGTCAAGATCTTTTTTATTTTTATCAAGTGTATTTCCGGGTTGGGGGTATAGCTCAGTGGTAGAGAATTTGCCTAACATGGAAGAGGCCCTCAATTCAATCCCCAACACCAAAAAAAAAATAAAACACAAACCTTCTTTCTTGGTTTCTGGTTCCACATATCTACCTTTTTTCTCCATCAAGGTCCTTTAGCAAGAAATAATAAATAAAAAATGATAAGCATGTGAGGTCACAGACATGTTAGTGAGTTTGATTTAAGCATTCCACAATGTATACAATCTATATCAAAACATATTGCATACCATAAATATATGCAATTTTAATTTCTCAATTATACCTTAATAAAGCTGGGAAAGAAACAAAAATAAATGTTGTTATAGTAAAAAAATAGTCACATTAATATAATACAGAATCTAATCAGCCATAATCAATTAAACACCACTCTTGCCACATTCAGTCTCTATGTAGAGATTCAAAAGATGAGAAGAAAGTAATTAACAAGTATCTATTTTTAAGAAACCATCATTTATTCAACAGAAGTTTATTGAGCACTTAATCATGTACCTCTGAAGATCCAAAGGTGAACAGGAAAGACCTTCATCTCACCCTTAAGGAACATCCAGGTTGTCCTGTCCTCAGACTATTTTTGCACTTTTACTTACATCTTTAGCTATAGGTCTGTATCAAAAGAAAAACTGCCTACTACAACCATTAATCCTGATATGTCAATGTCATTGGATTAAAAAATGCTTAGTGGATTAGTAAAGCATGCTCCTGGATGTGCCTGGGTGGGTCATAGAGGTGTACCTCCTCCATTCCTCTCTGATGCCATTTCCGTGCTCTGCTTCCTAGCTGCCATGAACTAAGCAGCTAAGCTCTACCATGCTTTTCTGTCATGAGTTTTTTGCCTTGTGGCCTACCAACCATGTAATGAATCTTCGGAAACTGTGAGCTATATTAAATCTTTCCTCCTTTAAGTTATGGGTGTCAGGTATTGTGTCTCAGTGATGGGAATACTGACTAATACACTTACTAATGTATCTTCTTTACAAGTAATAATAATAATAATAATAATAATAATAAAAATAGATAACAAGAACAATAAAATAGCTAATGCTTATCTAGTGCTTACTATGAGCCAAAAAGTATTCTGTACATTTTCATATATTAAGTAATCTTCAACAATCTTTTGAGGTACTAAAATCAGATAACTGAGACACAGAGATGTTGAGTAGTTCATACCAATTCAGAGTATTTATTTCATTTTTCTTATTAGACAGAACACTGTAGAGAGTTGTTATTTTTAAACAAGGGCTGAAAGAAAATGTGCTGTCGCTAGCCCTTAGTTAATTAATAAATTTGAATGTCAAAGCATATCATTCTTTAAGCACTTGGCCTAATTCAGATTCAATAATCTAGTCTGAATGTTTTCCACCTAAACAGATGCCCACAAAAGCCACATCCAGAGAAAAAATATATTGTGGCATGTGTTTAATTTTCTTAAAAACTACTGATGATTTTCAACCAGCCCATCCAAATCTCTTTTCAGGTTTTCAGCCTATAAACCAGTGTATTTGCTTTTATAATGAAGTGGAATGCCAGGTCTCTTACATTCCCAAAGTTGGAATATGGCAGCACGGCTAGGATTTCCTTGGAGACCTATTCTACCAAACATATAAAGATCCCTTGTCCATGGGTTTTCTGAAGAGAACCAGTTTCAGTGATTTGCTCCATTTGCCAGAGCATGTATCAGGAAGGTGGGCAAAAACCCTGATGAATGTTTTACCTGAATTTGCTCTGCTGTCCTGGAGATAACCCTCCACCTGATGCCTGGAGCCAAGAGAATTCTAAACTGTAGGCAACAACTGTCTACTTCATTTAATAAGCAAACCAGCATAAAACACGTGAAAACAATATCTCCTAATCCTAAAGATAATCTTTAAAAATAGCAATGATGATGTTGGTGATGATAGTAATAGCTGATGACCCCTTATTATATGCCAGATCCCAGGCTAAATGCTTCATAATATTTAGTCTCTTTTAATTTAAATCTCACAATAATCCTTATTCCAAAAGAATTTTAAGTAACCACTATGGAAAAGTTTTCAAACTTTGGCATATGTAAAACTTACCTGTTAAGCTTATTAAAATTGTAATTTTCTGGTACCACTCTAGAACATATGATTCAATAGGTCTGGGGAGTGGTCCAAATACCTTTTATGAAAAATAACATGAAGTTGCTTAAATTTAACAGAAATTAACAAAATAGAGTTTCTGTCATCTATTATCTTATAAAAAGAATAACAATATTGAGCATATCCTATTCTGAGAAGTAGAAAGTATGTGTTGATTGTGTGACAGATTTGGAGACAAGCAAGCAAAATTAATGAGGAGAAAGAGGAAGGGAGGAAGTTTCAAAGAAAGGAGATGGTTACTTCTTGCTTCATACTGAACTACTATGAGACTTACTAGCTTAAAAGGCAACTATCATTGATTTTATGAATGTAAAATTTGGGCTGTGTGCACTGGGAGTTTGTCTTCACTCTGTGTGGTACCAGCTGAGATGTCCTGACCTGAGCTGGTGAATCTACTTTCAGGAAGGCTTACTCACATGGCTAGCAAGTTGGTATTGACTATCAATTCCTTTCCATACTGTCCTTTCTATGAGGTGATTTGGTTATGAGTTATCATTGCAAAAGACAAGTGGAAGCTGCCAAATTCTTAAGGCCTGGTTTCAGAAACTAGCACATCACTTCTGTGAAATTCAACAAGTTAAGTAGTAAGAGATTTAAGGGGAAGGGATATAGATTTTGCCTTTCTAATGTAGGAGTATCAGGGAACACTGGGGCCATGCTTTAAAATTGCAACAGAGATACCAGTCATGGTGGCACAAACCTGTAATCCTAGCACTCTGAAAGGCTGAGGCAGGAGGATCACAAGTTTAAGCCTAGCCTGTGTGATTTAGCAAGACCCTGTCTCAAAATAAAAGGTAAAAAAGGGGATGGGGATGTAGACCAATGCAAAGGCCCTGAGTTCAATTCCCAGTACTGAAAATAAAGTCATTGGTATATCTTGGAACATATTTTACAATCACCTCCAAGTACTACATCAGAATATGAAGAAATATTTTCACAAAGGAATACAGTCAAAGAACAGATCAGTAATACATTCGGAGCCATTTCCCAAAATAAAATAATTCATCAATGTTTTCTGCCACGTGCTATTCAGTTTAGCATATGACAAAATATGTATTTTTAGTTAGAATTCTCTTAACAATTTCTGGTTCTATGCTTAATCCAAATACTCAAAATTTATCGGATACAGTAAATACTTCCTACAATTGAAAATTGTGAGTTAAGACTTTCCAAATTAGTATAAAGAGGAGGAAGAAGAGGCAGATATATAAGAACTTGATCTAAAATGCAAACAGTCCAACATTGAGCTAGATATACAGTGAAAAAAGGTCACAGAGGATTTTCATCACTTTCTCCATTATGAAACTATCACCACTATTTCATAAGAAGTATGCTTTAGTTTTGCATTTATAAAATACAAATAGAAATTAATATCTTAATTAAAAATTATTTGTCCTAATGTGTCATTGTCCCATTAGATTCCAAATGTTTGAGGAAAAACTATGCAGATAGTGATGGAATAAGCAGTTGTTAGATTGCTTCAAGAGAATGTAAATGATAGATTTTTCTGGAGCTGGGGAAGGGGTTTGAGGATGGGAGGGAGAAGGTAGGAGGTAAAGGCATCAAAAATGATCAAGATATGTTATATATATGTACCAATTCCCCAATACAAATGTAACATTATGTATTGTAAACATACACTAATAAAGAAAAAAGAGTAAAGAAATAAGAAAAATATCCCAGGGAATGACCACATGAAAAAGACAAAAAGGACTGAAAGAGAAGGAAACTGAGAGAATCCAGAGATGTAGGAAGAAATACAAAAGAAAGTATTCTTATGAAATAAGAAGAAGCAAATGTTTGAAGTTTTGCTGATTACAGAAAGGGATCAACATCATCAAATGCTTCGCAAGCTACCAGGAGAATGGTTGAGAAGATTTAACCAAAACAGCATCACTGAACTCAATGAGAGCAGTTTTAGCAGAAGCGTGTGGTAGGAAATCCTTTTGCTTGGATTAAAGTGTAAGAGGTAATAAGATAAGAGAAACAGCAAATGTAGAATACCCTTTCTAGATTCTTGGCTAAAAATGGAAGGTGAAAGACAGGATGTTAGCTAAAGAGATATATGTGTGTGTGTGTGTGTGTGTGTAGTGTGTGTGTGTGTATGTGTGTGTGTGTTTCCTAATATGGAAATAGATTACCTAGAAAATGTTTAAAAACTGAATGAAATCAGTTTATATAAATAAGGAAGTGTTTTAATTACAGCAAAAGTTTGAAGAGGCTGGAAGGGATGCAATCCAGATCTTGAGGCAGAGAATAACCTTGGGTAGAAAGGAAATTTCTTTTAGACTGATGTGAAGAAAGCAAGGAAAAATGATTAGAAGTTCCATTTTTAGAAGATGTGGTCAATGAAACATCATCGGCTGAGAGTTGAAGCTAGATCATATGTACATGAGGGTTTGTCATATCATCCTCCAGTTTTGTATATTTTAAATTTCCTACAATAAAGTACTTGGAAAATATTGACAAAAATTGTCGGGGTAAAAATTGCTTTATTCCTCAGGATGGTTTTGAAGTAAAAGGAAAAGCTATCTGTTGAGAGTGAAGGTTTCGCATTGCAGGTTTGTTTAATAAAGATGATGGAAGTTTAAAACTGCTGCTATTGGAATGGAAGAAGAGTTGATGATCCGGTTGAGGTTGGAGGTCTTACATTTCAAGTGGCAAATATTTGTGTGTGGTAAGATTTTCTCTAGGAATAAAAATGTAGGAGCTGTTAGGGAAATCCACAATTTATTTTTTTCATTTTTGTGGTATTGAGGATTGAACCTAGGGAGCACTGAGCTACATCTCCAGCCCGTTTGTTAAACTTTACTTTCAGACAAGGTTTTGCTTAAATTACCTAGACTGGCTTTGACCTTGTGATTCTTCTCCCTCAGACTTCCAAACAGCTGAGATTATAAGCATGTGCCACTGCACCTGGCCCATAACTGACTTTTGATTAGCTAGTGCCAACTAAACATTAAGGGAAGCAACAATGGGATGGAGAACTTTGTTTTTCCCTTTATAAAAAAGTTATTGTGCTTTTTAAAAATTGATTTTATTTGTACATTTAAGGTATACAATATAATGACATTTATCACTGGAAATTTGCACCTTTATACAATTCATCTTGGTCCTTATTGTTTCCCCATTCCCCTGCCCTCCCTTCAACCCCTCCACCCCTCCCTATCTACAAAGACTTTGTTTCCATTTTTTCTTTTTCTCATATTAATTCCATTCCTTTCTTTCTTTTCCCCACCCCTCCCACTTCCCCTTCCCCCTTGCACCTTTTCTTCCTGTTTCACATTATCTATTATACCTTTTGTGCTTTTCTAAAATAGGAAAGTACTTTAGTATAGAAGTCAGTTTTGACTAAATTCCAAGGAGACAGAGAAACTAACTTGTAAGATAGTTTTTCTTTATGATAAAATACTCTCATGTATTGTATAATACTGATCATAAATATTTACAAGGAAATTAAAAGATAGTAAAATAAAATAATCCAAATGCACTTTCATAAATAGTTTTAGATTTTAAACCAAATGTGCTTTTAAGTGCTTGCAAATTATTTATACTAAACAACTAGTATCTACCTAGAGGCAAAGCCATTTAGGATACTGACTTTCCAAATTTAGTAAACTTTCTGCTATCTCCATTAATGGCCTCATTTCCCATTCCAGACTTCCAACTGTTACTCTAACTCAGATTTAAATGTATTTCTAATGAAGATTAATTGTTGTGCATCTTCCACATTTCACCAGTATCCTCATAGCCCAAGAATCCCTTGAAGCAGAATGACCTACAGTGCATTTTGGATCTGTGACCATTGACAAAAATCTCAATTTGCTGTATGTGCACTCCACAAATGTGTTTATATTTTGTAAGCTGCACCCTGGGACTTAAACACTGTGGGTAATTAGTTACCAAGTAAGCAACACTACAAAATACTATTCCACTAACCAGAACTTTGGGTAAAAGATAATACAATTAGGGAAAAGGAAGGTTGTGCTATAAACAAGATAGGGGTTAGTGGAAATAGTGCACTGTAACTAGTATGCTAATATACAAATAGATTTTTATATATTATTTCAACATGGGCTTAATTGTATTTTTTAAATGTCAGGGTTGCCAATAGTTTCTAGTTTGCAATGTGGATTTTAGAGGGTGAGTGGCACCTCTGAAACTATGAATGTAAGCCAAAAGCTCATAGAATATGGTGTCACTATCAGTGCATGTAACCACAGACTAGAAAAATCAAACCAAACTTTCTATTGATGATAGTTGTGAAAGTTAGACAAAATATAAAAATTATCTCCATAAAGACATCATAAAACTAAAAAAATGAGTGAAAATTATGGAGCCAGTATGGGGTAAGGTAGAAGTCCCAGAAAGTAAGACAATCACAGTGGGAATGTTTTCATACTTCATAGAGAATATTAAATAGTTGAGATTTTGAAAGGCATTTTTTAACAGGTCCACAGTTACTAGGGTAACAGACATCTGAATCTTGGGTTTGCCATACATGGGACAGAGGATAGATGGGCTATAGATTCTCAGGAATAGGACTGTTTACTCGTGTACTATTCTAGTAGAAGAATGGACTTGAAGATGTCCATCGTTGATTCACTAGCTCAACTATGAACAATCATTTCAATCACTGGAGTTGGACTAAAGTGATCCCTGATCGCTAATGCCAGCAAGCCCTTGATGGACTCAAACACAAATTCTATCTGGCGGAGAACATTGATTTACACTTCAAAAATACTTCTTGCAATATCTTTGCAAATACAATGTCTGGAACACAGTGAGAACCAGACAATGGGCGTGGTGTGGTGGCACACACCTTTAATTCCAGCACTGTGGATGCTGAAGCAGGAGGATCGCCAGGAGGTCAAAGCCAGCCTGAGCTACATAGTAAATTTAAGGCCAGTTTGAACTGCATAGTGGGACCCAGGCTCAAAACAAATAAACAAACAAACAAAACCAGGCAAGCATCAAAGAAAATAAGATACAGCTAGGCATGATGGCATATGCCTGTAATCTCAGCTCACTGGGAGGCTGAGGCAGGAGAATCCCAAGTTCCAACAATTTAGCAAGACCTTGTCTCAAAAAACAAAAAGGGTTGGAAATGTAGCTCAGTGCCATGGCCCTCTGTTCAGTTGCCAGTATAGA